ATCCTTGTTTGCAGCTCTATTTTGCTAGCTCTTTATGTTGAGAAAGATGTATTAGGCATTTTTGGGGTTGTGTTTGGGATTTTTGTGAGTGGAGTTGGAAGATTCATATTGTATTCCTCCATAATTTAGTAAACGTATGTTTTCTCCTCATTCGCTCATGAACATAAAGACTACAAGCTAAACACGCTATATATATATATATATATATATATATATATATATATATATATATATATATATATATGTATATATATATATATATATATATATGTGTGTGTGTGTGTGTTTCGTTTTCTCGATATTTTTTATATGTTTTCATATGATTGATATTAATTTAATCATGGGGATTCGTCATAACGCCATAGTTATGATAGATTGCTTATTTATTGCATATAACTTGCTAAAAGCAAATAAATTTATAACCACCATCTAGCCTTTGAAGTCCAAACTAAGTTAATTATCAAGTCCTTCCGTTTGGATAGGAATTAGATACTTTCCAAGAGATTTTGTGCCAATACTTTATTTGCCATGCATATCAAGTTGTTACAACTAAAGAATAAAATTAACTAAAGAATAAAATTCTCTTTTTGGGTAAAAAAACGCATCTACCTAATAAAGAAAATAATAATAACTAATCTAAGGTAATTATGTAAATCTAAAGGCAAAGAGTTAAACCATATGAAAGTCTAGGTAGATCAGCTTCTCCACTATTATTTTCAGAGATACCAATTTCTAATTTATAAATCTTTAAATAATATTTAGAAGCTTTGTCGTTTATTTCGAATATAATAGCTTCCATATATATTTACCTAGTGAAGAGTATCTAGATCCGGCTTAGATTTTCCCCAGTTATACATTGAAGAAACGAAAGAAATGAAGAGGAGCACAAGTGAGGGAACCATCATCTACTTGGAAAATATTTATTGATACACGGATGTGTTACAACACAAAATGGTACACCTCAGAAATACATAACAAACAAGGCAAACACACGGAACAACAGAAACATAATCTAAATAATGATAAGGGAGATAAAACAGGCACGTGGAAATTGCAGAGAACAGCCTCCACTTTATTCTCGCAACTCTTCTAGATATACGGTACGTACTTTTTTAACAACAAGCTCAAAAGAGCTAGCCTTACTTCACACTGCAAAACAAATGAGAAACGGAGGGACTTAAAAAAATTAGATAATAAATACAGGCCTCCACTAATGTTTATGGAAAAGTTGTGAACCCACGTTAAATTAAACTGGGTTGAGCGCAAAAGTCAATTTAGGCCCAGTTTCAAGTGCATTAGTTATAGAGGGCAAGTAGCATATAAAAAGACCGTCTACGTGCCGGCGGAAAAATGTAACGATTTTGATTCATTACATTAATGAGGCTTGTTTACTCAAACAAGAATACACATTTAAAGGAGCTGTTTGACTTTTTTTTTTTCTTTTTCTTTTCTGATAACGTAACATATGTGGTCAGACGGTTGACGGTTGAGGAGTTTTAATATGGCTCTCATAGTTTTGAGTTCGACTCCGGTATAGATTCTCAAAAAAAGATATATAAAAAAATAAAACAAATATGATAAAGTGATTTCAGTTTCTACTTTTCCCCGAGGTATTTGGCAAGTTAAAAGTGATGGGATTAAAAAAGGTTGACCTCTATATTAATCATTTTTCTTCTAACCTGTTACTACTTATTGATAAATTAATGTTCACTTTGTTTGGTATATCTTAATTGTATACTTTCCATGTGTCAGAAAAAAAAATAAGAAAGTAGATGTTACATCAACTGTCACTCGGTTTTACTTCTTTTTATTTTCTATTATTTGGGGGTGTTTGGTTACATTTCTATAAATTATAGGAAATGTTTTTCATCCCAAATTTGATTTCCTTGTATTTCTTAAAAAATTTATAGAAAAAGTTTTGAGAAGTTAAAAAATACAAATTTTCTTATTTTTTGTATTGTGCTTGTTTGGTTCAAAACAAGAAAATGAAAAATAACTTTTAGGAAAATAGCAACATTTCCTATAATTTATAGAAATGTAACCAAACACCACCAACTTTATAGAAAAGTGAGAACTTTGTAGAAAAGAGTTAATGAGTTTTATTATTTAAATAATGAATGCGTTAGATTTCCAAGAGATTTCCTCCCATTTTAGAAGGAAATCAATTTCCATAAAATTTGGTACTTTTGGGCACTTTACAGAAAACATTTCTGTAATTTTTTTTGGAGCCAAACACAGTTTATAGAAATGTATAGAAAACTCTTAATTACATAAATGCCATGCATCAGTACTTTTGAGAAAACATTTCTCAAAAACAATGCAACCAAACACTCCCTTTAGCAAGCAATGAGGAAAGTACTTTTTCTTAAGATTTTTCAGTATTCATTTACTTTCTAGCCGTTAACACTCTCTTAGGTGCATTATTAATGAAATGTAGTGAGACCATCAATAGCTCACAACAAGAACACCCCATAGTGCGTATCTTTTTTAATCATAAAATTGCTTTAGAAACTTGTGGTTAGTGGACATATATAGAAATAAACCCTACAAAGTTCAGTAAAGAAATGGAAATATAGAAAGACACTTACGTAGCGCAGTTGATGGAGGTGCTAATGGTGTAAGGGAGGCTAACACCACAAGCTCCAGGAATCCCAGCGGCACGAGCTTGAATCAGACCGGAGATTTTACCGACCGCGGCCTTGAGGCAAGCGCAGGCCTGCTGGCGATCAGGAGTGCTCCTGGCAGCTGAATTCAGCGCCTTGACACCGCTGCAGCACCCGGGAGGCAGAGTTCCCTGGCCACGGGCGTAGTTCACGCACGGTGAGATCATCGACACCGCTTGACCGCACGAGATGGCGCCCTGTGCGTGGGGGGCGGCCATGAGAACGAAGGCGAAGAGGATAGCGAAGAGAGCAGCAGAGGAGGAGG